TATATATCTGTCGTATTGAACGAGGGGGGGGGGGGGGGGCGTGTGGGGCGTGGATTTAATTAGAAAAAAGGATAAATAATATTGAACCCATCGTGTGTTACAATAATAATAAAAATAATATTCAGAATTTTTTATAAGGCACATTCACTAAAAATACAATTCCCATACAAATATATTAAAATTTAAAAGATAAGGACTGACACTTAAAAGAACATAATATTGATTTACTTTCAAAATTGATAAGATTTTGAGAGTTGACTTGATTTATGAAATAAATAAAAAACATGCATTTTCCCTTAAAAACACGAGTTTGAAAGGAATCTCCAATTGTCGCCTTTCTAATAGTCGACGGTGATTCATTTCAAAGCTTTGGAGTATATATATATATATATCTCAAATGCACAGTTCTACCTCATATAACTATTACTATGTTAAAGAGAGAGGGAGAGAGAGAGAGGAAGGAGAAGAAGAGTTAAACAGCATGGTATTACTATGAGGCACTTGTCGTTGCTTACTTCGTGCTTACTTCGGTACAGATGGGTCTCTATTTTATGGAGAAGCGGAGCAAGGGGTGCATTAGTCTTACTATAGAAGATTATCATTTAATATTCCGTGGTCTGACAAATATTTAGTGAGGTGCCCCCCCCTTGCCGTGGACACGACATGGTTGATTGACTTTCGGAAAAAAGCTGTTCGAATACGTGGTTTAATTCGACACATTGCTGCTGCTGGCAACAAACAGCGTTGTGATTTTTTAAGGTCGATTTTCTTTGTTAATTATTTGTCCTATAGAATTTTCGTCCAGTAAACAAATACATTTAACTTATAAATACTGATACTTGGCGAGTTCCTTGTCACATGTAACATTGCCGTAAAGTATCACTATGTGAATCCCACGTATGGCGGAGTTTCACTATACACAGTAATTAATTGAAGGTTCTTCTACTGGTTAAGAAATACCCAAACCTTAGATTATTGCATTACACTTCACGAAACGCAGACTGTTTACTTAATATTCACCTTTCAGTATATCCTCTTAAACACCGTTCATGCATGGATCAACTTAAACGTTCACACATTTTCATATTTTAATTATTTTTTATTACAAAATTAACTTTATGATAATTTGCTCTATAAAATAAGAATAAGTACATGCCCTATGCACTGGAAAATTCCTGGGTACGTCAAAAGTATTATCTCAAACTAACATTTTTATTTACTTAGAATTATTTGATTTTTTTAAGGTAAGCAGAGCCAACCTATGGCAGACTACAATTTTTTAAATCAAAATTAAAACTTGGGACCATGACGACACATTTTACCGTAGTAAACTTTCAATGTGCGTCCCTTTAGGTTACAATGGCACAGAGGTGACAGCGCATTCATCAAGTGAACCGGAGAATGCTTGACACATTTTAGAAACATTAAAACAGGGCAAGGTTCTGACTTAACATTAATTACAGTTCGAATGGGTACGTCTCTGTGGTACTGAAGAATGCTGCGATAAAACCGTTAGGTCAATTATTTCTGTTTCTAGGAACAAAAACAAACTTTTTACACGCAGCGTCTTTTCCACAATGTGTGGGGCATTTCGACTTCTCCATGAACAATACTTAAAGTATACCTGACAATGACTTCAGGATGTTATTATCAAAACCGTCCGACTGCTTGAAGAAAGACCGAGATCAGAGACAGAGAGAGAGAAAGAGAGAGAGAGGGGGGGGGGGGAGAAACCAAGAGAGAGAGAGAGAGAGAGAGAGAGACTGAGAGAGAAAGAGAGACCGAGAGATAGAGAAGGGGGGAGAGAAAGAGAGACCTAGAGAGAGAGAAAGGGAGAGAGAGACCGAGACAAAAAGAGAGAGGTTGGTCAGCAGTACCATCTGACCACAGGGGGTGACTGTATTTAATTTTTGTTAGAAAATTGAAGCAAAGAATTTTTAAAATTCGGTAAAAGACTTGACGTCAGAGACTTCTCTGATCAGAAGGTAGGTCGATAGCAGCAGTTATCACAGTGGTGATTTCCAAGTGTACTAGTAAGTAATAAAAAAGTATACGAGAATAGAACTTTGAGACACTTCAAAAGCGCTGACGTGAGTTCAAAATTTTGAGAAACAACCGCATTTGTAATGTGTAAACGTAGAAAACCATTCAACCGTAAAGTGAGTTTCTTTAAATATTGTACAGCTCAATTCAAGCGTATTTGCCATGTGTTCCAGTGAAATGTACACTTTTCCAGATAAAACATATGGCTGCGTATATTTCATTTCCTGTGATATTTCAACTCACCTTCGTGGTGTGGCTTTTCCGCGCCTCCAGTTAGACCGGCTAGTACAACTGAAGAAAAAAAAAAACATAGAGGTGATTATTGACTGTTAATGAGTGTTTACTTATGAGGTGAACCTTACACAGTGGGGTAAAAACCCGTTTATTAGAGGAAAGACCGCGGCACTGAAAGTGTAGCTTTTCTCAAGACGCGGTGGTAATCAAGGGGACGCACTAGATGGATCCATGGGACCCGATCCCATGGGGAATGGGGGTGGGGGCGTTGTGAACCTGTGATTGATAAATGTTTAAACCAGATGAGCGTATGATTTCTGGCGATAATAGATAAAAAGAAAATGTATAAAGTCACTGTGCGTCAGATCCCCCCCCAACCCGTGTAAACGAGTTATTTCCCCCCTTATTAGTTGGCACATGGGGTGCTGTATAGTAGAAAATCAATGTGACCTAAAATCGAAGTACAGTTTGTCGTACATCAACGTGCACCGACCCTCTTATTGATATAAGACAAACACATTGAGGTATTTATACACAAGCAAATTAACAATTCAGTCAGGATTACAACAAATATTGGTCTACTTCGCACGCCCTGTCTTGTGATTCACTCGCCACACCTGTGAACGTCTAAAGAATCGATCAAATATTACTTCTCTGCTCTTTCATCAAATGGTTTGTTCCACCACGCCTTCTCCATTGTCAGTTCATTTTACCTGCTGTTTTATTGTTCTGTTTTCAAACAACATAACCCGCCTTCAATTGGTTAAAGTTTACCGTGTCTACAGCGTTCTACTACACATTATTACGCGTCGTCACGCGCCGATACATACCGTCATAATGTAAACATAAAACGCCAGATGTACCAGTTGTTGAAAAGTTATATACCAAACAAAACGAATGAAAAAAAAAATACCGAAGAGAAACAGTCGAGGAAAAATCTTAATGTGCCTCAACAAGATGTATGCCCTCCCGGAGAGCCCGAGGCTCGCCCGTTGAGAAAATGGTGAGAAACTTACCTGTAGTTAAAACAACAAGCGAGGTGGTTAACGCGGTAAAAGTTGCCATGATCCTCAGGTAAGTCCGTCCACTCTGATGAACGCTGAAGCCGCTGCTAACCTACATGGGGTGATCGTAACGTATGACTCTCTCGTGAACTCTGCGGCTGCTTTTTCAAACACGCCAGATTTACTCACGCACTAGTTGAGGCGGCAAAGGGGGGGATAGACAGGCGATTTGGGGCTCCTCGGCGGAACTGTCTTTGGAGTTTGAAGGTCGATTTACACATAAAAGAAGAATTTTCAAATAAAGCCACTTATTTTATTATGAATCTGAAAACAATTAACGCGCAGCTTGTCTTGCGTTATGATTTCCTTTTATTACACAGTTTCTGCGCGGTGGTTATCTTTTATGGAAATCGAGTATAAATAACAATATTTCAATCTTTATTGCACCCTGCTCCACGTGCGTCACTGGGACAAATGAAACCAAAAATTGTGGCAACTAAAAAACATCATAAACAAGGCGTCTACCTTTATTTATTTACAAAACATCACACTGAAATAAAAAGAAATATCAATGAATAGCCGCTCTAAGTGGATGCCGTTGGAACCCGGCGTCGTTCATGTTGTAGCTGTTCTTGTACAAGACGCCTGTAAATCTGGCAGACGATACAAAATCCACTAATGTGTCAGCTGCGGGTGTCATCCTTGGCTTCAAGGTTTCAAGTTTTTTTTTTTTGTGATTTTGTATCTTGTAACGGATGTTAGTTTTTCCGTTGTAGTACTTTGTCCGTTTTATACCACTTTGTTCTGGAGGCTCAGCTATGCCTCGCTGACAACATTGCTTGTTCTTTATATTCCTATAATTTGTTTTGACAAGAGTTATTCAACTTTATATCAATTGAAGAGCTAGTTGATTTGAATTGACTGAGGAGTATTTGATAACTGTCTTTTTTTCCAAATGTCCTATTTTTCCCAGTGAACTGCCATCATGGCCAGACCCTTATCCCGAAAAAGAAGAAATTATTAAACGAAAAACAAAACTATTGCTAAAACAATTACTTCTCAATCGAGAGGTTGAACTGTGTTATTTCAACACTGTTGCTGAGGGCAAACAGGCATTCACGTGGAAAGGGCACGCAACCGAACACAAACCCAAACAAGAATGTTTCCACAGGAAAAAAAAAACGTCAGTTACAGTAACAGCAGCTAGGATGTAGTTAAAGCACAGACTGTTCACATCATGCACGTTCCGCTCTCCACCTAGATAGTTATATGACTGTCCCAAAGGGAATGAAATGAAAGAGTTTGGGGTGAGGCCAGTCCCCAAAGACAGCTCGGATTCCCTAGAAGCCAGATTAATAGTGGATATGGGGCGAGTTTGTGGGCGTTGTTTCTTCGATCATACTTGGAATGTGATGCAGTTTTACCAGCGTCGAGTGAGACATGGTGAGACAGCAATTTGTGTATTTCTATGACCATTCAATTATTATTATTCGAAAACATAACAAATATCAAACGCTATATAACCTGCCCAGTCCGTCACCCCCTTACGACAGGCTCTTCATTATACGTGAAGATTTATGATATGTAAACAACAAACACATAAAAAACTTTAAATCTTGTGCCGCCCAGATACAGTTTAGGGAGTAATGTTCGGTCAGTTTCTCTGTCATTATCCACTCAACACCTCGCCGTCCGTTCTTACTTTCACTGAAGCCAGTCACATGGTATATTGAGTATTTTCACCTCCCCTCTTTCCCAACTCCCAACCCTCTATTTTCCATTTCTTCATTCATGCGTTACCACGCTTTTATAACCTTAAACTATAGCATGCGGGCTGTCACATTCGTCTTCTTCAAAATTTTCCCGAAAAAAAGTCTACAAAAAACCTCAAATGTTCGATGGAAAACGGTGGCGCTGCGTTCCTAATCGTTTTATCGTCTTCTCCGTGCGGAAAAGGATTGCCATTTAACTGTGGGAGGACATATCTGAATAAGATGTCCTGTTGATTATTGCCGACTGTCGCTCGCTTATACAGAGTTTTATTGAGAAACATTTAAATGTAAATATCTAACTTTAATAGAGGGACAGAAATGCAATAAAAGCACCAGATACGGCTTTTCCAACAGTTACTGGAGCCGACTGGATCAGGCGTGTACCACAGTGGTCACAGGTCTCGAGGGTTGCCATGGAGATGAGGGACAATGTCACCCACGAAATCACTCTGTCCCAAAGACAGGTCATTGCTTCGGTCCCAAACTGGGCCCATGTAAAGGAAGAACATATCTCATGGGATTGCTGTTATTTGTCAATTAATAAAAGTCTACGATAAACCAGCCTACTCGCTTCACCAGGAAGCTTCCTGCAGACGTAAATCTTTGGCAGTTTGGAGGTAAAACCAATTCAAAATTAAACCTCTGTTCCAACCTCTGTTCAAACTCCTAAGCTGGAGTTATTTGGAGGAGTTTTTAAATAAGTTTGTATGAACTCTACTTCCCAAGGAGGCATGAAGACGTTCTTCTGCTACTTTAGTCAATAAAGTGAAAGAGAAGAAGACAGAATGTCAGTAGCAAGCCTTTCATGACAGTTAAATATATTGGGAAAGCCGACCTTTGACGCGATACGAAGTGCATTTAAACTTTTCCTAGAGGCAAAGATTGGCCTTTTACTATCGATAGAGGTCTACCGCACTGCCCCAATAGTTCACAGTGAATGTGAGCGGTCAATCCAGGCCACTCTGAGTAGAAAGAGAGAGAGAGAGAGAGAGAGAGAGAGAGAGAGAGAGAGAAACAGACAAAGAGATTGAACAGGTAGACTAATGGCTAAACAAATACAAAAGTGGGCACACAATCAAATGGAAGGAAGAATGTAGCCAACATGCAGGAAAAGGGAGGGAGGATAGAATGTCGCTGCACACCTAGATTTATAAATAAATCGCTGACATATGCGTGGCCACCAAATTATATCGCAGTCATCTTTGAAGGAAAATAATGGATATGATTATGTGGGGGAATAATTATCGAGGAAAACTTCAACATAATAAATTATTTTTGCATCTGGGTATATAAGTTGTATTGTGTCAGTTTTTATCCCCAAGTCACGTGACTCTCTCTCACACACCTCCGTGTAACAAGCAGTTTTCTCATAAAAAACACACACGCACAGGGACGGGATTTGTTTATGGCGATTAGATGTTACATTGAGAAACTGAAACGTTCCCGGTTCCACGAGTTAATCACCGCTGCCCTCATGCTCCCCGCCATCCATCATGCCGGCCTCCCCACACCTCGACAGCTCCACTCCTAGCTACCGTACAGAACACAACTCAATACATAGAGATCATAATGGGGTCTTCGCCCAGGGAAACGGTTTAAAAATACAAATTGTTTGCCTCAAGACCAGTGTATTTTAAACTTTTTTCTACTTTTCAGTTTATCTGTATTTGGTGTGTGGCTTATTTGGAAGCGGTTTCCACGTGACTTACCAATGTACACGCAATGTTTCTATTTTTATTCGTCATTTTTAAGTTTAAAAAATATATCACAAAGCACGATGCTCGGATTTCTACTACCACATATTGTTAAATGCCTGATACGTTAAGTTTTGTTTATGTATTTTGTTGTCATTGGACTTCCCACGAAAAAGGAGCAAGCGTTAAGTTCACACCAAATTTAGCACCGGGGATAAAACGGTATGCGTTTAACTCGACGTCTTTTGATCTAGGACAACGATATTATGCGTCAAACGCACCGGTGGAGGTGAAAAGCAGAAGTACAAATTACATTTAACGCTTAGAATATACCTGTAGCGTCAGTGTTTTATTTGAAGTGAACCCAGCAGTGAACTCCTGGAACAACATAAACGCCTTCACTTTACTCTCATTTTCCCTAAGTAAGATACGCAACTTAGATAATGTTTTTTTTAGAATTAACAATTATTATACAGTGCTTGAGATTTCCAACATGTGGGATTTAAATGCTCATTTAGAAATGGAAGGACACAGAATTAAAATAAACCATGATAATTAACTTGTCTACTAGGTGATAATAATTTCTGCCTTGATTGTATGCTGACTAGCTTAGACATATAGTATCACACTTACTCCTCTCGCCAGTGCTGGCTGTCCCCAAAAGGAAAGACGTACGTTTGGAATTCAGCAAGCTGGGGGAGGGGCTGCCAATGGATTGTCTGGCTCAATAAGGTCGTCTCGACACTCCGAAGGTTCGTTGGTCCGAAAAATGGCAACATTTGCATCGTTTTTTAATCAAGTGTTAATTGGACCAAAGGTTCTATAGTGAACATTCGGACCACTGACCCTTCGGATTATTGCTACAGCCCCGGCTCAAACAAGCGACGCTCCACTACTTGTTCGCCTTCAGCCCGACTCCTACAGTGTACCACTATACACTTTCCTTGCTTATTGTCGGGTCCAGTGGTGTAGAGCCTATTATGAAACCCGACAGTATTAAATTTTATTAACTGGTGCATGAAATAATTGGCGACTGCACCCTCCCAAAACATAACCCCGGCAGAACTGCTGAGACGCAAACTGGCCAGCAAATGAATTTTTTCTAAATTAATGAAAAATTGTTCCTACTCTTCTCCCTCAAATATTTAACTTATGGAAATAACTCCTTCGTTTGTTGTATCCTCAGTTCGACAATTCTACCTGATCCTCTGCCAACAGTTTGTCTCTCCTAACACATTTCTGACAATCTTTTAGGCACGCGTCACAATCATGTTGAGACAGTACAACTGTCCAAATGTACCTGACTCGGACGAAGTCAGACAGAAGCGAGCACTGTTCAAGCTTAGAAAGCATTGCTTTGTGAAAAGTGGTCGATAATTGTGGAAAGACAAGAACGTGCGTGAATTCCGTAGAATAAATTCGGATGATTGGAATTTCGAATTTCGTATTTAAGAGATGTTTGTGTAGAGCAAATAAACAAGTTTTTTTTAGAAATGATAACAAAAGAAACACTGTGCCTAGAATATAGCAGACAAAATAGGACCGAGCCTTGGGGCAATATACAGAGATATCTACCCCCAGCAAACATATTATGCCCCGGGACAAATTAAATTATATTATTCTATAATGTAGGCCTAACATAGTTATTGTATGTGGAATAATATGATATCCATTGAAAAACTGTATATGCGTAACTGTTTTTAAATGTAACATGGACGTAT